CTTAAAATAGTTTTTCATCCATCAATAGAATCTAATTCACACTAGACACCATAGGTAAAAAGCAATATGCCTCGAATGGAGGCACAAGTAAGCCCGCTGGGCATTTACGCGATAGGCATAGTAGACAGCTTCATGAATCGTCTCACTCGGAAACTGTTCCTCTTGCCAAGACAAGCCCATTAACTACCGCCTTTGTCCAGGTTTGGAATTTGTAAGAGGAATCATTTACCAAGGATTCTGCAGACTGACCTTTGCTAAATTGGATAATTTATAGTAATCAGGCTTTTTCTGCTATAGAACGTAATTCATTTCGAGAGTTGATACATCATATTCAACTGTGATATAAACTACCAAAATTCGCTGATACGATCAGATCATGGGTTATTCGGAATTACAGCGATCAAAAGAATGAAGTTCGACAAGAGATTAAAGATTCCACAATACAGATACATTTGTCCGTCAATGGCTGGACATTCCCCCACCATACCATGAGTGTCCTAGGAGTAGTTACCCATTTTACCAGTACTAGGGAAACTAGATATAACCTTGTACTTGCCTTACAGGAGATTCAGGGACCCCATACAGGAGAGGCTTTGGCAGATATTGTGGTAAATATCATCAAGGAGTGGGAATTGCACTCCATTCTAATTTCTAAATCTGTAGACAATTGAGCTAATGAAACTATCGTAATTGTTAGTTACACATTTTTGGATAATGTAGGATATTTTCAAGTGGATAACGCCTCCAACAATAATACGATAATCAGGTCAATTGCATGGCTTCTGATGGATCATGATATGTCCTTTAATCCAGAAAATCGACACCTGAGATGCATGGGACATGTGTTGAATCTCTCTATTAAGGCCTTCTGGTTTGGGGGTATTGGTGGCATCAATGAACTACTCGATGTTGTAGTCATTACAGATGAGACAATGGCCTTATAGCGAAAGATTGGCCCCTGGGGAAAAGCACATAATATAACGGTTTACATACACTTATTGGTTCAACGAAAACAGCATCTCCGCCGCCTGGGGGCTGAAACACTGCTACAGGCTGGGAATGCTATGAGGTGGAATTCGGGTCTTGCAATGATCTAAAGTCTTTTAAGAAACAGGGAGGGAGTAAACTTCTTTTGTTTAAATGCATATGACTTACAGGCAGATATATTATCAGAGAGTGATTGGAGAGAACTGGAATCAGTGGTATGGATCCTACAGCCCTTTCTGCGGTCAACATTATCTTTGGAGGGAAAGGTACCAAATTTATGGGAAGTAATTCCCGAAATTGACTATCTGTGTGGAATTTACTAGTAAGATATTATTCTTTGCTGTCTTACAGTAGGTGAATTATTTCTGACAGACTACTAATAGTAATATTATTAGCAAGCACTACCCAGAGGCCCATCTTGCCCACGCTGCCCAGTTAGGTTTGGCAAAATTACAAGCTTATAGTCATAAAATCCGCCAAATTCCTGTGTATATTGCTGCCGTGGTTCTGTATCTGTGCTAGAAGTGAGACTATTTCGAGCTGGGCATCGAGCAGAGAGATTGGACAATTCAGGAAGTTCAGTTGTTAAAGGAGACTGTGCAATTACTCTGGGAGGAACAGTACCGTGGAAGAGCTAGCAACGATATGGCTTCTCGGAATCTCAGTTCAGGCATTGAGACTGGTGAAGATATACAAGCAGGAATAATGGAGGAAGCGGAGGAACATCACAGACTCTGGCAGGAAAAATGGCAGCGTGTTACCCCAGGTTTGCTTACATTTCCCTTTACACCAACTCTAATCCTGTATATCTCTTTAATTATTTTATTTTATCTAATTTATCCAAAACAGAAAATGCATATTCAAGATTTATCCAATCCCTACCTGAACCCGATATTGATTCTCCCTTCAGCTATTGGTTGAACTCCGCCAAGTCTACCAACCAGCTCGCTCCCATGGCACTTGATGTCTTCTCCATACTCGCCATGTCTGCAGACCCTGAGCGGTTATTTTCTAGCTCAAAGCATGTCTTGAAAGATATGCGAAACCGGTTAAAAAGTGATGCCTTGGAGGCTCTGGAATGCTTGAAGTCATGGGTGAAGGCGGGAATCTTACTATCGAACTTTTACCGCTTTAATACCTTTCTAGAAGGTGACTTCAATGAAAATATTGAAAGTACAATTTAATACCTCTCACTATATATCACAGATTGAAACACCACTAATCCTACTCGAATTCATTAATTCCCTTTCTTCTTTTACACCCTCCTCGATTATTTCTTCCTTTTTTATATCTACATTTATTCTCTATTGTTTATTTGTTTCTCCAAGTTGCTTAACACTTCTCTTGCCTCTTCTTTCTTCCTCAATTTCCTTCTGTTTACCAAATCCTTCGATTCTCCTCTTTTGCTTTAATTGTTATATAAATCTTAATAATCATAGTTTTAATTGTTAATCTTACGTAATTTAAATCTCATGCAATATAATTCTATATTCACACAATTTCTCTTCTCATATGGAGTGTCAGAAAGCTCTTAAATTTCATCTTCGGGACTGGTCAGAAACTGGACTAGACTGGACTAGACTGTCAAAGGTAGTCAAGTCCAGTCCACCAGATTGATTGGGATTGACAGTCTAGTCAAACCCCTGAGACCAGACCGGTCCGACCATTAGGAACGCTGATGTCAAGGAGGGGAAGACATTTGCTGGAGTTGAGGTTATGAAGATGTACATGCCACTTCTTGCACAAGAAGACGGTCACGTCCAACTCATCAAGCAGCCGGAATCTACTCTTGATGCGGGTGACATCCTCGGTATAATAGCTTTGGTTGACCTGAGTCGTGACAAGCACACTACTCCTTTCAACGGCCAACCTTCTGACTTCGGCCCAGCGCAGGTCATCAGTAGCAAGCTGCAACAGAGATACAAACTCCTTGCCACTTTTCTCAAGAATATTATTGACAGTTACGACAACCAAGTCATCATGACCACCTCACTCAAGGAGCTTATCTAGGTTATTCATGACCCTGAGCTTCTTTATGGAGAATAGGCTGCACAGTGTTCTGCCCTGCATGCTAGAATTATTGTTAATCACCGGTGCATACCGATGATCCGGCTACAGTGTTTGTGGCAAGGTGTTCATTAGGGGAGACAAGTCTGGTCGTTTGGGAATAGTGAGAATTGTGGTAACGTGGTACAATCACCAGAAAGGGAAAGAATGTGCGCAGGCAAGTGATAATGGAGAAAGTGAAAACTGAGTACTATGTATTGGTGATGTGATTGCGGTAGTATATGTTGTAAGGTTTTGGAAAGGACAGCGTGGAAGTTATGTAAATTGGTAGACATGATGTAATTGTGTGAGAACAGATACAGATAGTGAGTACGGTTATTTGTACTTAAAAGCAGCCATAGCCCCAGATGTTTTGAGAAAAATGAACAGCAATACAGGATCAGATTCTACCCCAATTATTATTTTCATCAAGAATGCTATAGAAACCTGACGCTATTTCCTCCCAGGTTGTTGAGAGGGCCAAGTCTCGGAAGGGAGAATCCCCAGCGAAGCAGATTCGTAAGACCTTGGACAAGTTCTCGGAAGAGAATATTGCAGCTGGTGATCTTGAGGTCAGGAAGTCTGCTCTATTGCCATTGACTGAGATTCTGGATCGGTATTCCCAGGGGTTGATGGTTCACGAATTGTCGGTTCCCCTGGGACTTATGGAGCAGTATTGGAGTATTGAGAAGTTATTCTCAGTGAGTTTATTATTCTAGGGCTGAGTCGGCTTAATTGTGCGCTAATATATTATAGGAACAAAATGCACATGATGAAGGTGTTATTCTTAGACTCCGTGATGAAAATAGAGACGTTATTACCCAGGGTGTTTAGGCGGTGCTTTCTCACAGCAGAATTGCGTCCAAAAGTAATCTCATACGGGCAATTCTAGAGGAGTACCACGCTAACAAGCCTAACAATAGATCTATCATTAAATTCTTACGACCAATTCTCGAGAAGCTTAACAAGTTGGAGTCCCGTATTTTGACAAAGGTTGTACTTAAGGCTCATGAGGTCATTATTCAATGTGCGCAGCTTTCTCTGGAAGAGAGAGCCGCTCAGATAGAACATATCCTCCTCTCCTCTGTTGTCGAGTCACGATATGGCGAAACAGGATGGGAGGATAGGACTCCTTATCAGGAGACTTTGAAGGAGGTTATCGACTCCAAGTCTACTGTCTTTGACGTCCTTTCCACCTTCTTTGCTCATGCCGACCTTTGGGTTTCTTTGGCTGCTTTGGGGCTATGTATTCGCTGAGCGTACAGGGCTTACGAGTTACATGCCGTGAACTATCACAATTTGGACTCTGAACCTCCGTTTATCGTCATTTGGGACTTGCAGATAAAAAGAAGGTTGGCGTTACTGAGTATGGCATGACCCAGCCTTCGGCTCCAGCTACTCCTACTGTTGAGCATGGTGACGGATTCAAATGTGTCGGATCTATTAGTGATCATTCGTTCTTGGTAGGAAAGTCCGAGATCGAGTATGTCAGACAGGGTGTCAGCATTCCCGTTACCTTACTTGATGAAGCCGAGGAGTACTGATCCGTGCTCTCGAGCTCATTCCCCTCAGAAAGGGAGCTAAGTCTATCGGAGGCGGATTAATGGCGAATCTTGAAGAACGAAGGAGGATTTTGCCCCTTTCTGCACTTGAAACTGAGATGGAGGATTTCCTGCCTGCTGTTTGCAATGTGCTATTTGAGATGCTGAATCTATGGATGATAAAGACCTTGTAGAGAGAATTCTTCTGCTTGTTGCTTCCCACAAGGATGAGCTTCTCTCCCACAACATTTCTTCGTATGACCTGCATCGATGGCCACAGGGACGGATCTTATCCTGGACACTTCATCTTCCATGGTCCAGAATACCGCTAAGAGCTGAGCATTCACCATATCGAAACTGCATTTGATTTCCAGCTTGAACTGGGTATATTATCAAACTTGACCATCAAGCCGGTCTTAACCAAGAATGGTAATATCTAGGCTTACAAGGCGTGTGATAAGGTGGTTCAGAGAGATAAGAGGTACTTTACTTGTACCGTCTCTAATGATTCCTCCTTGGATAGTTAGTTCTTGGCGACGGGGAATGATACTTCTCTTCTTCTGTTTCTTTCCTTAGTCTTACGATAGCACTAGGCCTCTACCTACATTACCGATAGTACAAGACCTCTGTCTTCTACGAGGAACACCTACCATAAGCTTTCTGTAACTCTTCTTCGTGAAGAGCTTTCCTTGGCATAATGATAACATTGCAATAAAGATAAAGATCGTAAAGGTGTTTCATATTTGTTAAAGTAATAAGTAGGAAAAGTACTTAGAATTCAATCTAATTTTATTTATACTAGTACAGCCAGCACTGGCATACGACCAGTCTCCCCCACACCCCATATAACAAACTATCTAAAATACACTACCGCGGACTACTCCACCTTGCAACCGCTCCACCCAAACATAAATCCAAAAATCACTACATCTGTGGGCTCACGGGCGCTCACAGCGCCTAGCGCTGCCCTGAATTAATGCGTCTTCCCACCTCACTACCCAGCCACCCTCTCAAACCCTCACCCTTATCCGCCTCCAATACAATTTGGCCCACATATTCCACAAAAGAAGCATACAGTCTATTCCAACATCCCTCCGTCCTCTTGTAGTGCAACTCAAGATTCAAGTAACCTTCTGCCAACACCAAACCACAGTAGGAGTAGCGTGGTTCCTTCAGCAACCGTTCACCTTAGCCCAATGCAAAACCACCAACGTCCGTATTGGCAGGTTCAGCTCATCCCACAGCAAATGCTGGGAACACCAAAATCGATCGTGACAAATCCGTAGACACTAGAGGCATTTTTTGAAGGGTTCCATGAAGGTGGTACATTTCTTTGTGGCTGTAGCGGCGATGCTGATACCACAGCAGGGACAAGCGCACCGTTGCTGGTCGGGTAAAAAGAACTATTTCTTCAGTAGTGTCACCTCACTTGGCAAAATGCAGCCGCTGCCATTGTGTCTCTTCTCACACCGGGTGCAGGTCATAGGGTCTCCTATCAATACTGTCTTCCCATCCCTTTCTATTATCAGTGTGCCGTCAAAGGGGTTACCTGCCACAACCAGCTTCCCATCTACCAGTCTAACATGGCGAGGGATTCCCAGACCCAGCCACCGATGATCCATCTACCAGCACTTCCATCTCGGGATTGCCAAAACCTTATACCGATCTTCATTAGCAGGGCGTCCTCTAGGATAGCGGGGGCACTCAGTCCAAGGGTGTTGGTCTTCCTTCCCATCAAAGCCATCATGGCCGACCATGCGCGTCCCACTACAGATCCTCATCAAAACATAGGAATCAATCCGGGGTAGGCCTTGGAGGTGTCGAGACACCTTCGGTTCTCCAGCATAATACTCGTACCTTTCCCCAACATGCCAAGTCCTCCGTTCCTCCTTATTGAGCTCCTGAGTCAGGGCCGTATGGCGAACCCCAAAGCTAACCCCTTCCCAAAGGAGGGGACGCAAGGAGCGCCCGATACCTGCCTTGGCCTTCAAGTTGACCATCTCGTTGCCATCAATGCCCATGTGACAGGGCACCCAACTGAAACTAACATGTGAGAATGTATTCAACAGGGGTACCATTACCTTCCACAACTCAGCCAAGTCGCCATCTGAAAACATGTTGTCAACCATGATGAGGGCTGGCACAGAGTTCAAGAACACATGAACTGGGCATCTCTTAGCTATGTCCTGTACATGCCGGAGGGTACACACAACAGCAAACAATTCGCATTCCACAATGCTCCAGGATGGGAGAACCGAGCACTTGTCAACACGGGTTCAGGCCCCTTTCTCAAACAATGCCCAGGCTACACTAGCCCCTTCCGAGCACTTTGACCTATCTGTGTATAAAACCACATCCGATGATGCACAGAGGTCTTTGTACAACACTCGGTGGCGTGCAGCCATCACTGCCTTGCCTTTTCTAATCGAAATTGTCAGGTGGTAGGTGAGCTCCTTATCTGAACTCTGTTGATGTGCCAGCATGCCTTCCTCCTTCCACTGTAGCCGTATTTCCCCGAACCATGGATGCTGGTCACAGTACCGGTAATTGATGAACCAAATATAACACCTCCATTGTAAGTATCTTCCCTGAATAGCAACAGGCAGTGTTCCGAACTCGGCTAGCAGTATGTTGATTGCCAACCTCATGGGCGTTCGGAATACTGATCAGTGGCAATCGTTAATGTGGATCTGAATCTGTTTCACATACCATGCGGGGTTGGTTACAAACTCAAGCCCACCATAGACAGTCGGAAGATAGGCTGCCTGCACCAAGTGGTAGGTCTCCCATGCCCCTAGTCCACCAACACTCCTAAACCATCTCCCCAACATCGAAATCCTTCTCCTAACCCCCAACCCTCTCTTCAACCAATACTTTACATGCGAGGAAAAATTAAGAAATACATTAAACCTATATCTGAGAACCCGTAAGTCCTCCAAAGGCAACACTATTTCTCCTAACAAATCTATTTCCCTCCATGCCTTATCTCCACACCCAATCCATTGAGTCTTGAGGGCACTGAATCCCATTCACCTAGCCCTGGCTATGTGGTCACAATCTGCAAATATTTCTCCCACATGATCGGGAGCTGCTTTGCAGGGCTCCACCGCTATCATAATGACCCCATCGTCGACGTATGAGACCACCAGCTAACGTACGCCGGGGGAGTATCGCATGCATGGCCTGAATATATCTGCCATGTACCCACCAAAAGGGAACAGAGAAAGTGGCGAGCCCTGAGGCACTCCTCCCTGACTGACATAGTAGGAGTGAGAGACGCATCAGTTAAAGCAAGACCGTACCGACCGACAGGAAGCCCATCGACGGATCCATTGGCAAAGGTATCTGGGGCACGTCCTGGCTACCAGAATGTCAGACAGGAGATTGATATCAATGTTATCAAACCCGCCTTCAACGTCCATTGACAAGATTAGTCTTTTGTAGCCCTCATTATGCCGTAAGAACTTAAAGACCACTGCCATGGTATCATGAACACCCCTCTTCCTTCGAGACCTGAATTGCATTTCTCTCAGATCTAGGCAGGCAGCTAGTCTCAACAAGACCACTCGCTCTGCAACCTTTGCCAGTGTTAGAAGGAGATGTATCATCTTTCACGATTTCACGACATCATACAGGGGTTTGTCCAGCTTGGGTATGAGTACCACCTCAGCCTTGTACCAGTCTTGAATATTGTGTCGTAACCTGCAATCTACCAGGCATCTCAATGTTGTCACATCACTTCGTTTTCAAAAATGTAGGAAAGGATAGCCAATATCGTCCTCACCTGGGCCTGTATTCGTAGGGGACCTGGAAAGGGCAATTTCCATTTCTTGAGCACCATCCATATCAATCTTGGAACACTCCCAAGGAGTGGGGTCAACAGGGGACAACTGCTGTACAATCAGGTCGCTAATGTCTGAATGTATAGCAGCATAGGACCTATTTGGTCGTGCCAGAGAGGGAAGGGTTCGCTTAGCTTCTAACTTCCGTGCCAACCTAAATATGTCGGGATCCTAGTTCTCGGCTATCTTTTCCCTGATATTCTCGAACCTAGCCCTTAGCAGGCATGCTCGGTACATACATCGGGCCAATTTGTAGTCCTCTATCTGCTCTTTCTCCATTTTAGAGTTTCCACGTAGCCAGGCCACATCCAACCTCATCCTGTCCAATTCCGGTGTCCACCACTCGCACTAGCCTCTGCTAACAGAGGCACCTGGGAGTGCATCCACCACTCGTCTCACCCCTTCCCATAACTTCCCATCTTCCACCTCTTACAGGGCGTTCCACCGCTTCCCAACCTTCTCCCATACTACCTTCTTCCAGGCTGGCTTCCGACACATGATGTTGTCAGGAAGGTTGACTATCAACTTAAGGGCTTGAGCACTGTGCTCGCAGCCAGCGGCGTCCAGATATCGGCGCCTGACATATGGTATTCTGTGTAGGCAAAGGTCAATTCTGGACACATCCCGAAAGGTAGGTACTGTTGGAGGGACCATGTTCATATTGCGTGTCGGGGCTGTGAACCACAGTTTCAGCCATTGTCTACCCATATTGTTGTCGTCTGCATTGGGGTCCCAATCTTGGTGTCTGGCATTGAAGTTACCAAATGCAATGTCTGATTTCCCGAGTTTGTCCAACCAGCCAACAAATTGGTCCTTAGTGTAACCGGGTTGGAAGTAAACCCCAGTAAGCACCCTCTTCACCCATTTTTCCCAAGAGCCAATGCTGGCACTACTCTCTCCATGCTTCGCCATCACAAATATCCCACAAACATGGGATCGAACAAATACATCAACACCCGACTTCTTAACAAAGGAAAACAAATTCCATCCATCAACATCTATAGGTACATGTAGCCCCTCCGGATCAACTGGTGGTTCAATAATAAAAAGAAAATCAACAAAAGAAAATAACTCAAATGCCAGCGCCTGATTCCGATAACACCTCACCACATTTAATGCCATTGTCGTAATAAGCATTAAAAGGGGGCCTCAACTGATCCACTCAGACCACAAGGGTCAGAGGTATAGGGGGCACCACTATCCTGGTCCCGAGTGGTCCAAAAGATATCTCCTCGGTAGGGCTTGGTGGTGGCTATGGTCTTTAAAATCCCACGCGCTGGGAAGGGGGAGGGGGCGGGATGTTCTGGTTCCTTAATCTTGGTCTTGTCTGACCTCTGAGAGGGGCCTTCATCTTCCTCGTCACTACTGACCTCAACCAGTCAGGGTGTTGAGGATCTTCTATGACTGTGGCATTGTCTCTGGGCCCTCCTCATCTGGCTTCCTTATTGTTCTGGTTTCTTGGTAGTCTCTGTCGCAGGGGCCACTCCTTGTTTTGAACTCGAGGACGATAGCAGTGGGGGCGATGATCTGACCCCTGGGCACTGTTCGTACCCTGTAAAATGGTCCATTCAGTCACAGAGCCAACATTGTCTCCTAGTGTGTCCACAGGCCTGGCCCACACCTCCTGTGCACCCAAGCTTGCTGTACATATGTTCCTGGGAGAAGTGTACTTCAAAATAA